AGTACTGTCTGTGTGTTTTCTAGAAAAATTAATCTCATAATATGAAGTCATTGAGTAGAGACAACTTTTGTCTTAAACTATTGTCTGTCTACCCTGGTCTTGCCGAGCTCCATAGTCACAGCTCTAGACAAACACCTGTTTGTTATTCTGCATAAAGGCCATTGAATTCAAGATTTCAGTTTTTTCTACAGACTTTCTAAAAAATAATCAAATACAATTAAATACTGTTATAGTTTACTTCTTAAAAGCTGTTTCTTCTCATTGAAGTTCATTAAGTGATTCATTCTCACTGTACATCCTTTGGGTCTGTTTCCTCCAGTGCTCACTTTCTGTCTCTCTTGATTAATAGGAGCTCCAGCTACAGCCTCTGGAGTCACTGTAAAAAGACTGTAAAGAGCTGTTAATAAAAACAACTGAGATGAAAGGAAGAGCTGCTTGTCTAACAGGTGTGTTGTAAGCTGGAAGAGTGCAGGAAACAGACTCAGATTCCAGGTATGTAATTCTCTGAACTGTATTTTACACTTGCAAAATTCAACTTGTATCTGATACCTGAAGCTTTCTGTCTTTTTGTTGTCTTTTAAAAGTATATGTTCATCGTAGAGTAGAGGAGTCTATTGCCATCATTTACATATACAAGGGAATTCTTATTCAGGCTGATCTCTCAGGACATACACAGTATAGCATATGATACAGTATGATATTACAGTATAAAATGAACGTATACATAAGAAATATGTTCATCTTATACTTTATGATGATTCAGTTTAGGCCCTTAGAATTCTTACAGCTTTCTCTTCTTCTTAAAACAACATTAGAAATATATAAAAAGCTCACGTGATAAAGATTAAAGTATAAAGTCAGACAAAATTATTGCAAGGCTCTGGTTATCTTTTATACTGTCTTCTGGGTTTGCATGTTTAACATTTCCAGTATAAGGGGTAGAACAGTCTTGATGCCATTTTCGTAAAATATTGTCATTATGTTAAATTATTCATTTGTGTTAATTATTTATTTTGCCTGACAAATCTCATCAAGTTTTGAAATACTTTCACCTCACTTTTATTTATTTCCAGCCACATTTGGCTTCTTTTGCTGTTTGAATCGATGTTGTTCATATTTGTCAGACAATAAAGTAAGTTCACTTGGACAACTTGTTTTTTTTTCTTGATCATATTAAAATTTAATTGGGGTTTAATTTTTTTATTTTTAATTATTAATTTGATTTTCATTTGTGAAACATAGATTGAATGTATTAAGCAATTTTCTGTGATGTCTAGAAATATAAAATATAATTTTTGTCTGTTTTAAATTTTACTTCCATGATTTCACTTTTAGCTTCTGTACTGATCAGAAATTGATAATTCCCTTCATATAAACGTTACCTATTCCAGAGCCTTCCAGCCCTGATCCTGGAGGAACATCTTCTGGTTTTTACTCCAGCTATGTTCTTAAACACAGGCAAATTGATTCTAATGTCCAATTTTTAAGTACTTCACTTATTAAGGAGTTCTACATGAAATGTAACCAACTGAAATTCTGTAGGAGGACAAAAAAGAATGTAGGAATGTCTACTCCAGAGTGATTCTTAACTGTGTCTGTTTATCAGAAATTAATTAGCTAATAAGAGCTGTTTAATCAGCTATAACAGAAAACAAGTGGAGGAAAGGGTATGTTAACTTTTATATGCTGATGTTGCTGATGTTTGTACAGTAAGTTATGCATGCTGATTTTGTTGGTAACTGAACCCTTTGTTGAAGTTGAACACTGGCTCACAAGTGATGGAAGACAAAGTTAAAGGAGTCTAAACAAACAGGCAATTAAATTAGCAATGGGGATTTGGAGATTTTCTTCCATCGGCAGTGTTAGGATCCTCTGCCCTATTCCATTTAGGTTTTTAAGTGATTCACCAAGGTTTATTTGTGAAAGTAAAGTGAAGTGTTGCATAGGAGAATTTTGTACATACAGATTCCAACACAGTTTGTCAGACCAAAGATCCTGTGCTTGGAGAGTACTTTTGAGATTAATCTATAGAAACACTGCAGACATTCCTCCCATCTTTAAAATAAAGTGCAATTTTCTCCATTTAATTTGTTCACAGTGACCTGCATGAAAACAAAGCTGTTCCTATGCACCATTGATGAAATTAACAACCAGAAACAGTTGGGAACTTGTTCATTATGCTATACACATATTAAACATAACACCTGAATACCATTAAGCATGTGATTGTATTAGCCTTTGTGTTTCTGTACCTGTAGAATACTTCAGTCTCTTAATGGGTGAAGTGCAGTACTCTAAAATCTTAATTAGGTAAATTAATCTGGAAGCTGCAATATCTCTCACTAGAAAAAGTTTTTAACATACCAAATTGCAACACAAATAAATGTTTTTTGACCAAATATAATACAAACAAAACAAAGATAAAGAAAAAAAAAACAAATAAAATAAAGACAATGTTTAAAATGTATATCTGGAAAAATGTCTGACATATACCTTATTAGGATAATAATTCATGTTAGAAGCTCAATTTAAATAAAATAATTATATTTCAATACAGACCAAAATGTAAATTTTGTACATTTTGGTACAATGTAAGAAGAATTGTTTTTGTTATGTGTGTCGCAAAAATATATTGTATAACAAGAATTATGTAATATACAGTACTTAAACTTTAGTTTAGAAACATATAAACTTAGTACAGTATTTACCCCGGATTAAAGTATTACATTAATAATGTGGTAATGCCATACCTAGGCATACAGTACCTAATGTCATACCTAGTTGCCCTGGAAAACAGTGACATTCTCATCCCAGGGTTCTCAGAAAACATTCAGGCCATTTATCTATTACCTTTCCCCAACCATTCATCACGTCACATCTGCCAATCAGTCCACCAATTAATGTTCATTTATAATCGACAAACCACCACTGGAATGATGCATTGACATTAAGATACTGCCAGCAGTGTTTAGTTCAATACTGACCTGTGTAGTGTGCTCTCTGAAGGCACCAGTTCTGTAGGATTTGGGCATTTACTGGGACAATTATTAATTGTAGCAGTAAATCACAAAATTGATTCTTTTGAT